TAGTTTATAATAAAAACATTTTGTTCAAAATTAATCTGAATAATTTCATCAAATGAGAACAAATCAAAATATTCATGGCATTGTAAATACCTTCAGCCAGACCATTCTCTAAAAGCAGTAGAGTGCTCAGGTGTGGCAAAACAAACAAGATAAACCCGACTCGATGGTTCCCCGCAGAAAGACAAAGCTTGGAATTGAAACAAACATTTTCCAAACAAAACAAAACAAAAGCAGAATCATTTCAGTGTACATTCAGCTGCAGTTCAAAGGCTTATTTTTCCGTCAATGGAGATTAAAGGATTTGCTACACTGGCTGGATGCGTTCTGCGGGCTGCGGTCAGGTCAGAGTGAACGCAGCCTGCATCATGTATGAACAACATTATGTCGGTCAGCGGTCGTGACAAAGCAATCAAGGCAAGGCAATAATCCGGGCCTTTTCAAGGCGAGAGTGAATAGGCAGTTACAGGGCAGATATGTACCATCCTAGACTGCATCCCACTTAACATCAGGTGCGATTGTGGTCAAATACCTGCCTTGTTATGCATAAAAAAAAGCTTTCAGCGCTGCGATTTGCGTTCTTTACTCGTGCCCGCACGGTCAGGCGTCAATACGAAATGTATAGAGATAGAGACCGACACCGACCGATAGTACCGGAAAACGCAGCGTGGGACGTCCACCCACAAGGTGGACCAACGACATCATAAAGGTAGCAGGAAGGCGCTGGACGCCGGCCGCTACCAACCGGGCAGCATGGAAAGTATTGGGGGAGGCCTATGTTCAGCAGTGGACGTCCTATGGCTGAGATGATGATGATGATGATGATGATGATGATGATGATGATGATGATAGACCGACAATGTTGTTCATTGTTCATACATGATGCGGGCTGCGTTCACTTTAACCTAACCGCTGCCCGCAGAACACATACAGTGTGGCAAAAGCTTTATTTTTCCGTCAATGGAGATTTATTTCACGGCTCGTGCTTTGTTTTCGGCTACACATTTGAATTTTCGCTAAACCGCTTTTAATTAAACGCGAGAGCGACGCGGATCCGTTCTAATTGCGATTTTAATCAAAGCGATTAGCTCTACATGCAAATCTACGTTGGAGCTAACATTTGCTTGAGGGTAGACGTGAAAACTTTATCATAGTAGTTACTAATGTTATAAGATGTCTGTATCGTTACAACTTAAAAACTACTGGACCGATTTCAATAATTATATCATCATTAGAATGCTATATTATCCCTGAATAACATAAGCTATAGCAGACTAAATTTCATGGCAGCGAAGGTGCGGGCAAAAGTCACATTAAAATAGTATAATATTTGCAGGTAGTAAAACATGAAAATTTGCTCACATTCGGACTTTATGAAACACATAAAATTGAGCTGTCAAGTCCCTTTGACGTTTTAATACCACTTCTGCGAGCTAATACGGTTGTATGTGGCTCGTTAAAGAGAGCACGCCAACTTTATTGCAATAAGTACCTGACCTTTTCTTTTTCTTATTTAATTACATACTTAATAAAAAGTAGATGTAAAAAATTTGCGTTGGCCGGCGGGCTTGAGAATATTACACTCTCCATTATAGAGCATGACATAAAAAATATTATTATGAATGAATATAAAAAAAATATGGCTGTCTGTTGTTAAATATTCAGTCAAACTTACCTCCATTGCATGCGTGAGCTTTCTGTTAGTTTTCCTTAATTTCTGAATGTCCACAAATTAATTTCGATACACAAAGTCATTAAAATAATTACTTATTATTGTTTTGGAAAAGACGATGCGAGATTACAGAAGTTAAAACAAAAGACGATCGAAATTAGTTAGAAAATAATAATTTATTACTGGCCAGTGACAAAGGAGTTTTTGACATAAAATATAATACAGCTTCACATTTAATTGGTAAAACTTTTTTTCTTTCTGGCCAGTGACAAAAGAGTTCCGTACATAAGGCTTCAAATCCTTTAAAGTTATATTTTTACTTGCAATTTATCACAGGGCAATATTGCATCAGTGTCGTAAGAGCTCATAAAGGCTGTATATGAAGTTAAGCCCGTAGTTGCAGCGTGCAAGAGTGTTGAGCAGATGAAGCTAAGATTATGTGCCCGACAGTAGTAGGGTAATGGCTAAAGTTCGGGCGTATCTTGATGCCTCGTTTTAGTTACTCCCACGTCTTAATGCAATATCTGTTTATGATCTGCTGTTAACTTTAAATAATAAAGTGTGTACGTCTTAGTGAAATTATTACGGTAACTGTAAATTAATAAATCACTAATTAAGATGAAAGGTTTCGAAGTCTTTCTGCGTGTCTAGCTTTGCTTTTAAAGTTAAGATGGTTAATTTAATAAACGAAGTTATGTACTAGTTTGTTGACTGAAAGAAAGAAAGAAAGTTATACAAAAAGCGAATAAATACAAATAATTTATAATATTTTCCGGTGAATACGACAAATAATTATTTGAATTACTATTCAACCAACTTGTCCCACGTAAACGGACTCCAGTAACAGTATTAAACGCGCACTCTAATCTTGAAGCTCGCATAAAACCCGCGACTTATAAGCTCCGCCATGAAACGCTTTATGTTGGCGATATTATGTCCTTGTACAGGGGATAGTAGCTATGGCCAGGATAATTTCGTTTTCTAGTAGGACTTTAATTTCAAGCACCGAGTGAACCAACAGTTCACTCGGTGCTTGAAATTAAAGTCGTTTTAGCTTTGCAAATTGGCTGTTGTACGCCGGAGGCGTGTGGGCATGTGCTAATCAAATAAACGAATGCGTATCCTGGATGTGTATACACAAGTACTTGGTTTACTATTTAACTTGTACTTATCTCTGTGTTAAGTCCTGATTGTAGCACATAAGATATCACATTTTCATCGCAAAATCGCAATAGTGAACTACTTCATACATTTTAAGAGGGTTTAGCCTGATATTATGTTGTTGTCAATACCTCGGAAACCGCTCTTTACTCGTTACTATTTTTACGCTTAATTATTTATCAATTCAAAACATGCTATCGGAATACTATTAAGATAGAATACACGCTTGAAAATAATTAAGTTCCCAATCAATAAAAATTAAATACATCCTGCGACTTCTTAATTAAAATAGGAAAACACTAACCCGCCATAAAGTTAAGGAACACGCGACGGTTCATTATATCTTCATTTATATTCACCGCCACAATTAATAGGTAAATATAGTTATAGAGGAACGGCCTTAATTACTTTTTATGAGTAGAAGAGACCGGGGAGAGTTGTAACAGATGTGAGTTGTCACAATGTCAATTTCTCTGCGCTTATGACAGTTAGCGATCTGACAACTTGACTCGAACTGTGGTTTGTCGTATAGATGTCCGTCCCAACTGCCAGGAGGGCGCTACTATCTAGACTGGATTTTAGTTCCGATTTTTCCCACGTTGGCCAACCATAAATAATTATAACATTTACAGGAGGGCGCTACTATCAATATTGGGTTGTTAGTTTTAGATTTTTGTCACTTATCGTTCCAGAATCGTGGGACTATAAGACCAACGAATTAGCGAAGTTACTAGCTCGATAAACTCCGTCTTTTTAGAGAAGAAGTTTTTATAACCTACCTCTGTTACAACTCTCCTCGGTTTCCCCTATTTTTGACTCTTGCTCTTTGCGTGAAGCACACACACTTTACGTGAAGTTTAAACTCGCTAACTGTCATAGGTTCAGCGAAATTAGCTTTGGTACAACTCTCGTCGGTCTCCCCTACCTACGGCTATTTAATGTTTCTATGAACATTATCTTGATAAAACACCGGAGGTGTCGGTTGGATATTACTAAGTTGATTGAAAGTTGAAAGTGGAAGTGATGTTAATTGTTATTGCGCTACAAATTGGTTTACGAATTTTCGTGTAAGTACTTGATACTGTAAGTTAGTAAGTTAAGCTCCTACATTTCTGAGAAAACTTTTCATGTAAACAACCTCTTTAGGGCAGATATTGCTTCTCAGAAACGTTTTACAATTGATTGATAGAATAGTATTTTCATGACGGTAATTATAAATAAGACCAGGCCTGTTCATCTCCGCAAGTTTACATCGAAAACAAAACACGCACGATGGCCCACCTACAGGATACTATTCGACAAGGCCTCACATACGAGCGAACATTGACTCACGCACGCGTATTCTTGTGTATGATGGAAGAAAATAAAGAAAATGGTGTACTAAATACTGTGCAGTATTTAACTGCCTAAATAATAATAAAAACACAGAATGTACTTTTTGAAGTTGCTTCAAGACATTGAGAGGTAAATAAGTAGTTACTATTATTCATGATAATTCATGCTAAATCATGTATTTCCTCCGCCATTTTCCGCAGTTTGGCACCTCACGTCACATCATTTTACCGAAGTCAGCCCTATAGCTTCGGCGCAGTGCCGATCACTGACGTTTGTAAACAAAATGGTGCTTGACTCTTGAGACGGGCTAAATTACACCATATTGTTAATGACATTGAGCATACATTTTTTTAATTACCTTCGCGAAGTAAAACTTCTGTACGTAGTACTTATTATTATTCTGTGATAAGACTCCGACTTTGCGCAGCTTTTAACTTGAATGTAGTCAGACACTTCAGACAAACGGCAAAATATGACAATATTTCCCACTCTTACGCCCGTATTCACAAACAATGCTTGCTTAAGTGAAGCAGCAAATCGAACGCACAGCGCTGAATAGAGCTCTGTGATTGGTTCGAGTGTCACCCTGTGCGTCCATGCGCACTGTGAGACGTCATAGTAATGTTTGTGAATACGGGCGTTATTTACTTTCAACCAACACTAACAAGAATCAAAGTATAAGCTACACTAGCTCTGCAATACTGCACCTACATAATACATGGTGTCCCAAAAATAGTATCAAGCCGATGTCCAGAGGTAGAGCATTAGGAGATACCCAGATCACCCCCATTTATGTTCCGGGATTTTTTATAGTTAGAAATTAATGTAGACTCACCGATCTCTTCTGATGATGGTGGTGCTCCAGCTTCATGTTGGCGCAGCGGTTGAGCGCCGTCAGCCGCCGGAACAGCGACTGGAGGGAATCTGCGTCCAGGAACGGGTGGTCGTTCTGGACGCCTGACACGTCTATGGGGAACTGGAGGTCTGGAACAAAATGAAAGAATGTTAGGTCATTGAGGTTTTCATAAAACGCGTACATAAAGTTACAAATATGAAAATAATAAATAAAAGAATGCTCTTTGGCTTTAATTAAGCCACAAGTAGTGGCAAGCTTATTATTAACAACTTTTGTAGCGTTTGGATTGCAATGGGCAGAGGTGAGCATGTGGCAACCTTTTTTGCAAGGGACCCTAACTTCGTTTTCATCATGATCATCATCTCAGCCATAGAACGTCCACTGCTGATCATAGGCCTCCCCCAATGCTTTCCATGACGTCGTTTTGTGATTCCCTAAACTTGCTACAAATACCAATGTGCCAGTTAGTTCAGGTGCAACAGTGCTTAGTTTGATAAGTTGTCAAAATAGTTACCTAATTTCAATGACCACCTATTCACTCTCAACCGACAAAATGCCCCATCCCATCATACGAGTATTTTACGCTAGTCAGTTGTTCCAAAAGCTATTTGCACAAAAGCTCGATTTCTGAATACACGTGCGGCCAAAACGGAACAACAGCCACGATCAATTAGTGCTGTTCGCTGCGAAGTGAGCGTTCGCTGACAGTAACCTGGTTACGGACTGTCGACGACCGGAGTGGTCGCCCGATTCAGGAAATGCGATGAAAACTCACTGGAAAATATTTCACGAGGTAGCGCAGTCGTGTTGGTCTGCGTAGCTTAAAATAAAGCATCATGATTCCTTGTCGTATATTTTATTTGGGACATGTTAAGGCTTTTAGTTGGGTACATAACACACAATTTATCAGTGTATCCAGAATAAAAAGCGAAGAAATTTACTTAACAGCATATTTTTTTGTAAGAAAAGTTGTATAGACGAGAAAGAGTCAAACCTCAGTTGTAGATTAATTTATTCTGTAAAAAAATATTCATGAAATCACATGTGAAAAGTCACCCGTACATTTCAGAGCATTGTGAATCCGAACTCAACAGCACTCAATTTGAATACCTATGTGAAATCCAGTTAAAAATTACGAATAACTCTCTACATGTACAGTGGGGTGGCTCTTGATTTGATTTCTGAATTGATTCGCTATCCATTTCCAATTGGGAAGCGCTTTAAAGAATGCTTTTAATATTTACAAATTAAAAGGTAACTTTAAAACAGCAATTGGATGTCGAAATCTAACTTAAACCTTTATAGAGCATAGAACAACGACTACGATTTAGAAACAAAGCATTCACAACGCATTATGTGCCTGTTACGAGGCAAATATCTGACATCAAACGAGGCCCTTTTAACCCTGACGCACTTGTCTCCACTCGAGTCGTATAGACTCCTCGAAAGGAACGCCGAAATGGAGGAAACGTCACTCAGGCGGTGCGTGACGTCAATGGCGCTTTGTAGGGGCGAGGGCACAAAGGTTTACACTGTAGCGCCTAATGTAAGAGTAATAGGTGCTAGTTTCCAGTAAAATCTATAGTCTGATCTGCTGTTGACTCTAACAGGTATATTAATGGATACAGATGAAGGAAGAAGGCCCATTTGTTTGTATCTATTCATGGGTTACTCGCTCACCAGTCGTTGTTGAACAACTTATAAAGAGATTTTTGTTAACTTTTAGAGAAAAAGACAAATATGTACATTCGGTTTGGCGAGACATATCTAGTTTTGCAACGTATCAATTCTAATAAAAGAAAAAGTATTTTAATGCCTTATTAAAATTTGACTTGGCTATTAATTGTAAAAAATATGGAATGAGAGAGATTTGGTGTATTTAGAACAAGAATCAAAGATGGATATTGATTTGCCATAATGCGTGTTGTGACTCTAGACCCCTAATCATTAAGAGAGAAAGAGCTTCTGTGTTTATCGCTACTGTGTCGCTTGTGTCGCGTCGTGACGACAAGAGACAAAGACTTTGTCGCAGCTTTGTCACAATACTCTAATGGCTTTAGCAGCAACAATAAGGCGCCTAAGATCGTTTGCGCCTTTTCAGTGACGGATGTTGAATATTTTACCATAATTTTGTATTTAGAGATAATTTAATAAAATTGACAATTCATGTCTGAGAAATAATACAATACCTACAGCATGTTTTTACTAAAAACATTTGTTGAGTCTGTCACTTAACAACATTTTAACTTTGCACAATATCCTGGTAGGGAGGGATTAGCTGAGGAGTTTCTTGCAATGTTTTTACTCAGCACTGGCCCATTTGTTGTTTTGAAGCAGTGGTAGGGTTAAAGTAATACTGGGACTTATAAAAGAGCTTTTTATAAGCCTACTTCCAGAATATATGAATTTGAATTATTTGTTGTCTGAAATACACGTCAAATACGGATTTTACTTCTGTAACAGATGCGTAACTTCTAGAAAAGCTCGTCACATAAATCTTCAACTCAAAGCCCTCAACCATAACACAGATAAAACAAACTGTCCAACTGAACACTAAAGTTATCAGAAAACTGGAGCGGGCCGACACACAGCGGTATCTCGTGACGTGACTTCCGGCCGACGGCGCTTCCGGAGGCAGTCGAGCGCCGACCGCCAGACATGTAGGTCGCTTTTGACAGATGCTTATTAAAGCTCTTTGTGGGATATTTCTTTGTCGATAGTATTCTTTTGTTGTGCCAACGAAAATAGACGACAATTATGACTGTTACTTGTTTCAATGTCTTTACAAAGTTACTATTAAAACGGTACTTAAGAGCTATTGATTCTCGCCAAAAAATACTTTTTTACATCTAAATGTCGCTTAAAGTTCGAGGGTTGTAGGGACCAATTGTTACTTACCCCGAAGTGAAGATGGGCATTAAGTATGAATCAGCTATTTCCCTGAGAGCAATCGCCACCAACGCATTGTTGAATTATTGAGAGGTGGCGACGGTGCTCTGTGAAATAAAACATCCTGAACAAGGCGGCACGCCTTTTATTTACACAAGTGTACAAGACGATAAACCGTGGGCCATTTGTTTTTGATGTCAGATACTAATTATGATCACCCGAAGTGTTTATGGTCATCCTAATTATTAAGGATAAACTGATGAAGCTTCAGTTTCATCAAAAACTATAGGTAGGCGCCTGGAAAACTGAAATTGTCTCTCGACGTGACTTGAAAAGATAATTTCTGAGTTAAATAGAGCAATTAAAGCGTCGTTTCAAAGGAATATAAATTATTCTTAAAGTCTTTGTAGCATTCTATAAAAAGGACTTATTAGAGCAGTTTTCAAAACTTCTGTGCTTAACATGAAAATAATGTAAATAAAAAAGTTTTAAAGCTCAGTAATTATTCCGTTGTAAAATAGATTTTTCATGTAAAAGCTTTAAGTGGTAAGTTTGACTCTGGCTTGTTAGTACAGTGTTGAAGAAACTAACAAGCTCATCGAACCGTTTTCTAATCAAAAGTTTGTTAGTTTTTAACAAGTTATCGGATATTGAGCCAAGGGTCGATGGGATTTTGGGTAGGGCCGCGGTCTCTTGATAGCGGAAACTTGAAGAATTCATTGGAATCAACTCAAACGTAAAATTTAATTGGAATAATAAGGTACGATGGTGCATAAACCTTCGAAAAATGGTCCAATTTCCAATTAAAATTTTGTTTATTGTCATTTTTGCCTTAAAGAAAATGCAATTTAGAGAGATTGGAATAAATCGGATACTTATAGCTAATATAATATGTCAACTGAATTCTGAATTACTTCCAATAGGTAGGCCAACAGAAATTCCCGTTACATTTTTAAATACTCGCCTGTGTTTGAAAAAATAAATACTGGAAAAAATAACTTTAAAAAAAAATAAAACCGACTTCAAATGCGTGAACACAAAAAAAAACTAAAGATTAAAAGTATTGCGTATAAAAAAGTTCATCCCCAATTTTCCACCCTTGGGGGTGAAATATTTTCTTCAAATTCGCATGAAACCACCCTTTTGATAATACCTATTCAACAAAAAAAGAATCGTTCAAATTGATTTATAATCGGCGGAGATATTGCGTATAAAAAAGTTCATCCCCAATTTTCCACGTTTGGGGGTTGTTTTTTCTATTATTAAATTTAAATGGGACCACACTTGAAGTATTACCTATACGCCGAAAAAAGATTTTTTCAAATCGGTTCATAATTGGCAGAGTTATCGCGTAACAAACATAGAAAAAAAAAACATACGGGTCGAATTGAGAACCTCCTCCTTTTTTGAAGTCGGTTGAAAATACCGCTGTTATTGGGCCACAGCTTTACTCACAATTAATCCAGAACGATGCTTACAGATTTCCCTGTCCAAGCCTTTTAATCAAATAGTTCTGATCCACTCGATCTTATTACCCTTAAATCCATTAAACTTGTTGATTGGATTAAAGGGAAACATAAACTTAAAAAAGGAAGAGAGCAAAGTGTTATTTTATTTTTCTTTAATCTATATATGTTACGGTCAAAGTGATAAATGTGAAAATTATGAATAATCGCCGGTTATTATGAATAATCACCGCATGATTTGGTAAATGTGATTAATATGAGGTAATTTGTGTGTCTATAAAACTAAATAGGCGGCTTAGGGGTGGCCCAAGGGCCACCCCCGCCGCACCTTAACCTATTTTTCACTTTAAATAAAAACATGATGTTATAGGCATCATGGAAAAGTAGTATTATGCAAGAAACACTCCAAACTCATTATGCCAAATTATATTAATATGATATCAAAACGTTCAAAAGTTTGGCTGTACACGAGCACGTACACAAGATGTTGTTCTCTTTTATGAAATTTGATAGTACTAAGCTTGAATTATTAAATAATCACTGTTAAATGTGATTCATTTATCACTTTTACCGCGACTGTCGGTAATTATTCATAATAACCGGTTATTATTAATAATTTTCAATTTATCACATTAACCGTAACATAAGGTGGGTGGACCATGGAAGGCCACGCTCCTTTGAAGGCCAACTATTAAAAAGTCGTAGTTATTGACATGAAAACACATATTCCTTCGGCTATACACTAAGATCCATCAAACTTAAGGCCACAGATG